TTGGTCAGCGACCGCTCTGCGCAAAGCGCTGCCGCACCCCGGGTGCGCGCACACGTACGGGCGCTCCCCCGTGTGCGTGCGCCTGTGCACCTTGAGCAGGCACGCCATGTTGAAGCGCCGCCCGCAGTTTGGCGCGTCGCACACAAACGGCCGGTCCCCCGTGTGCGTCAGCAGGTGCGCCGTCAGCCCGCTGCGCGCAATGTAGCTCTTGCCGCAGTCCTCGTAGGGGCACACGTACTTGCGCTGGTTCGCGTGGGCGCCGTTGATGTGCGAGCGCAGCGTCGTCTTGGACGCGTACCGCTTGCCGCAGCTCTCGTGCGGGCACAGGAACGGCCGCTCCCCCGTGTGCACCTGCCGCTTGTGGTCCTTCAGCGCAACGTTCGTGGTGAAGCGCTTGCCGCAGTCTGGAAAGTCGCAGCAGTACTTGCGGTCCTCGTACGACACGTGCGTCTGCAAGTGCGCCGTGAGGTTGGACTTGGTCGGGAACGACTTGTCGCAGCCGGGCTCCGGGCATGCAAACGGCCGCTCCCCCGTGTGCCGCCGCATGTGCGTGGTCAGGTGCGACGACGACATGAAGCTGCGGTTGCACACCTCGCACACATACTGCTTGGACGCGTACGTGCGCTGCTCCGTCTGGCCCGGGTCCTCAGAGTGCACGTTGATCTTGTGCGTGTGCAGCTGCGTGCGCTGCTGAAACGTCTTGTTGCAGCCCTCCACGTCGCACCGGAACATCGCCCCCGTGTGCACCCGCTGGTGCCGCGTGAGGCTGCTCTTGTGCATAAACTCAAGCCCGCACCCGGGCTGGTCGCACACAAACTTCTTCTCCCCCGCCCGCGTGTGGATCTTGCGGTGCTTGTACAGGTTGCTCGCCGCAGCAAACCGCGCGTTGCACCCGGGAAACACACACGCAAACGGCTTCTCCCCCGTGTGCGTGCGCACGTGGTCGCGCAGGTGCGAGCGCGTCCTGAAGCGGGCGGTGCAGTTTGGGAAGTTGCAGGCGAAGGTGCGGCCGTCGTCGCTCGGCGTGGGCTGCACCTGCGCCACAATCACCGACGCCTCCGACGGCGCGTCGTCCCCCTTGAGCTCCGGCTCGTGCTGCCGAAGGTGCAGTGTCAGCTGCCCTTTGGTGGCAAACCGCTTG